ATAGCCCATGGCTAGCCCTGGGCCTGGCAAGCAGGACCCAAAATAGAATTGAATCCTGACTACGAGCAAACCAACACCACGTGATGCTTGGGTTAACCAACACCACGTGATGCTTGAGTTGTCTATATTTTTATTATAATTACAAGTATTGATATTAAAAACATTATTATTAGTTTTTTTAAATTTTTTTTGGTATAATTAATTTTCAGAGTATTATTAGTAAAAATATTATTGTTTATTTTGTTGATATTATTTTTTTTGTATAATTAATATTAAAAAAATTATTATATTTTTTTCTTAATATATTTTTTCGTATAATTGATAGTATTGGTGTTGAAATTATTACTATTATTTTAGACTAATTAACAGTGTTGATCTCGAAACTATTATTATTTGTTCTCTTAATATTATTTTTTTGGTATAATTAATTTTAAAATTAATATTATATTTTTTTAGCATAATTAATAGTATTAATATAAAAAAATATTATTATTATTGGAGTTATAAATAATATTATTTTTATAATAATTAATAATATTAATACTAAAAATATTATGATTTGTATTATGAATATTATTACTTTCAGTAAAATTTATAAGAGTGTAGTTTATTGTAATTAATATTATTAATAAAATAATTGACGAATTTGAAAGAAAATGTTATATTATTTACTATTTTTACCAAATATATTGTAATAATAATCTTATCAAATTACACTTAATTTTACATTTACTTTTATTTATAAATTACATATAAATTATTAGTTACAAGATTTAAAAATAAATTTGGATCCTGCTATGTACATTACCCAAATAAGCATGGGTCTTACACGGCCTCGCCCAAGGCCACCTCAAGGCTAGACTTCGGTTAGGTTGTGCAAGACTCAAAATAATTTTGGGTCCTAGCCGAGCAAGATCCATATATGTTTAGGACCTAACCTGAAATGATCTAGATAGGCTTGGATCCTCCTTTTAATTTTTTTTTGAAAGTTAAAAGTGAGCCTACGGCATAGTGTGACCCACCTATCTAATTAGTCACTATTTGGAATTCAAATTAGTACCTTTGATGCCAATTAGTAGTTACTTAATTCAGTTGGTAGTTATTGAATTCTGAATGTATATCTCTAGTAGAGTCAATTAGTTAATTACATGTGATATTAATTTTTTTTACATAAATATATTTAATTTTTAATAAAAAAATTTGTATCTTTAATATTCACCATTATTTAATTAATGAATTAATGTTTGATAAATAAATATAAAGTTCCCGGGTTAAAAATACTTTGTAAAGAAAATTATAAAATTACTATAATTATGAGACTCATGTTGCATCAAAGTATTGTTTCTAAATATTACTATTTAATGCTCTATTAAGATTTGATATTAATTAGAGCTGTTAAAATTGTTGAATCTTATGTTATTTAGTTTAGGAAAGAAAACATTTGTTTTCATAAGTAAAAATATAAAAGATACTCATAACTAATATGTTATTTCCTTTATGAAAAGAGATAATTGTTCTAATTGATATAAAGGATACCTATAACTAATATGAAGGTGCATGTTATATAATATGTACATCGAACTTATTTGTGTGAGAATTCTATATGGAGAGATCACTTATAACTATAAAAGGACTTATGTGATGACTGTGTGATTCTTAGATTTGAGATTAATGAGTTCTTCTATATAAAGGATATTGTGCTTTGATCCTGCTACACGTTGTCTTAACCATGGGTAACAAATAAGCACATATTGGGTATAACATAAAGTATACGAGAATATCTGAGCAATTAAGAAAGGATTTATCATTCTAGATGACTTAGATTAAAAATTTCTATTTGTTATCAAATAGTATGATTGTAAATCTTTGCACAATAAGAAATGAGATTTAAAAAAAAATTAAATTTTATTTAAAGAACTAATAATTATGGTCTTGAGAATAAATATAATTCAATAAAGTAGACACACTCTATGCTATAATGTTTAAATTATAACATTGTTGATGAATTGAATAGTAATTACACTCAGAAACTAATCATTGAAAGGTTACGTAAAACTATTTATAACTTTCTTAATATTTATGAGAGCATGACTCGTTACTAGACATTTTATTTGATTTTTAAATATAAATAAATAAATTAATTTAATCTTATTTTTATTTAAGATTATGATTTACATTTAACCCAACTGATTCTCATCAAAATTTAATGGGTCTCACGCATAAAACTCATTAGTTGGAAATTAAATTGGGATAATTAATTCAGTGTGACTTGATTGTAAATAAATTTTAGAAATTAGGGACTAGAAAGTACTAATATACATGATTATAATTATAGACCTATGAAAAATCAAGTAGGGACTTAATTGAATAAATTATTAAAATTATTCTTAAATGATATATATGATACATGATATTATTTAGGGGACAAATTAATATTTTACAATTTATAGAATTTTTAGATTTTCTATAATAGAATCTTATACTCTTATTTTTTATACACAACAAAAAGAAAAATTATGTAAGTTACATAACATCCAAATTACATTTTCCCTCTTAAAAGTTTTAGAAGATTTTTCATTAGTGATTTATATGAGTTATTGTTGAAGGTCATATATTTAGATAACTTATTGTTTATGATAAGTTATTTTTAAAATAATTATTCAAAATAAAAAAATATTTAATCTTTATAATTTTTATATAAACCTTAAATAATTTTAATTTTATTTAATAAGATGATTAGAACTTTTAAAAATATTAAATTTATTATTTATGCTGCATATATGTTTTTAAAAAAACTTAAGAGTGGTAACGGAATTAGGGTCGTTGATTATATATTTTAATTATTATTAATATTAATTGTGAATTAATTTTACATGAAAAATTATTTTTTCTTAAAATTTTTTATTTTATGTTAAAAAAAACAAAAATTATTTTCCTCATGTTTTTGAAAAGAACAAAAATCATTTTTCTCTTCCAACTTTTCTGGCTAGATCTAGCTGCGGCGCCAACCTTGCTGTGGCCAGGTCATCGCTGTTGGAGAGGGCAATAGCCTTGGCTGTTGCCTCGCCAGAGCACCGCCAGCTTGCCAGCACTTCTCGTGACACACCGCGAGGCTATTGCTCGCACTGCAAGAGAGGTTGCGTGAGGACTGCGCCTCGCTCTGATTTGAGCAGCGACGACCTTGGTTGCCTCTACTGGCATTGCCATTGGCTGTGGGCAGTGTGCCCCCTGCCGGCGAGAACTAGAAAAGAAGAAGATGAGGAGCAAACTTACAATTATGCCCCTGCATATTTTATTATATTATAATAGATTTTTCAGGGGTAGAATAATGATTTTTCCGTGGCTAATATACCTTATTACAGTAGGATTTTGGATAGAATTATGATTTTATTTCTAAACTTATAAAATATTGATTTTATATTAAAATTGAAATCTTAAATTAAATTAGTTGTAGAATAATTTTTCTAACTGGATTAGAATTTAATTAAAGTATTTTAATTCATGATTTTGATTTTTATGTTATCCTCATTGGATTATTATTTGATTGAATTTTTTAATTAAAGTATTTTAGAAAAAAATGAATTTTTCTCTGTATAAAAAGGTTTTAAGCTAGAAAATTTTATTTAATTGATTCTAAAATAATTTAGGATGCTAACATGAATTTTAATATGATTGATTTTCTTATTAAATTTTTAAAATATTTTTTTAAGAAAAAAATATTAAATAAAATTTACTAAATTTAAGAAATTATCAAATTGAATTTGATTTAATATTTTTAAGTGTTAGAAATATTACTATAAAATTGTACACAAAGCCAATAATTAAAATCAAAGCATAAAATATATTTATTTATGTATATTAATGTGTTTTAATGCATGATGAATGATTATAAACATTAAAAGACTAATAAAATTGTGTTTTTGATAATGGAATGGTTATAATATTAAATAGAGTCTTTATGTATTGTCTTTATATTATTTTTCTATTTGGGTTATAAAATTCTTCTTATTTGATTTTTTTTGGATGTAATTTTAGGTTTTTTTTATAAAATTATATAAATTTTATATAATTTATATAAAAATTTTATTTTATAATTTAAGATAAAAAATAACGACGAGAGGAAGGTTACAATTGTGATCTTCACAAAAAATTTATGAATTTCACAAAAAGTTTATGAAGATTTATAGCCGCTACCTATGTTTTGACATTTTAATATGTTTTGACATTTTAATTTTTTTTATTGACTCAAAAAAATTAGTTTAAATATGTTAATAATTATTTAATTAAAATAACATGTTAAGGATATATATTTATATATAATTATTATGTATTAAAATAATAATTTTTTTTTTATTAATATATTAATTAAATATTAAAAATATAATTTATTTTCTTATGAATTTAGATGCATAAAACAATAATCTTCCAAAACAAATAAATTTTCCTAACTGAAATTGATATGGGTAAACGTCAAATCAAAGAAAGTTTGGGACAGATGAGAAATTCTCAAAAGATTAATAGTTGCTTAGTAATATAATTAGGAGTGATTTTTATTTAGAAATTTATTAAAATAATATTTTTTATTTTTTAAAAATTATTTTTTATATATCACATCAAAATAATATAAAAATATTAAAAAATATTAATTTAAAATAAAATATATAATTTTTTTAAAAAACTTTCAAAATATAATTAGTATCGAAATAGAGAGACGGAGAGAGAGTCAAGAAATTTTGTCTGCGAAAACAAGAATTGCTCTCATGGTTTCACTGTAACTGAAAGCATCGGCCTCAACCCTCAAGAGCGAGCCCTGAAAGCCTGAGGGGGCTTGCTAGGAACCTCATACTGCTGGAGATAGCAAGCACTTCACGTTTTGGAGTGGAACAGAAATCAGAGAGAAGACCGGTTTGCCGTTTAAGTAATTGCAGCCTTTAGGACGCTCATGTTTCCACCAGCTTGCAACAGTTCAGAGATGAAGCTAAATATTTTTTTTTTGGTAAATGGGTCTTCACTTTTAGTTGATTATATATTGTCCATATCTCTGGTTTTGAATTTTATTGCATTCTGGGATCTGGGTTTATGTTGAAGTTGCTATCTTTATAAGAGAATGACATCAGCCTGTTAGATAAAACAAAATTCACACCAAATTCTGTATTTGTTATCAAAAACCCAAAATTTTTAGATGTGAAGCGTGTTTCTTTATCTTCGGCGGAAATAATTGCCAGCAACCAAGACCTTCTGACCGAAATTCTCATCCGAATACCTGCAAAACCTCTCCTGAAATGCAAGTGTGTATCAAAACAGTGGCTCTCTTTAATTTCTGACCCCAAATTCTGTATCTGGCATGCTTGCCGCCAACGAGTCCTAAACCCCACACCCAATGCCCTCCTGCTCAACAACTTTTACTCATCCACTCCGACTTTCCAGTTCATCCCTCTCATTGGTGATGATTCATCGTCTTATTCTCAAGCTGCAGTCTTTGACTATTTGAATGTGTCTCCGAATTATCGGCTCAAGATAAAGAATTCTTGCAACGGATTGATCCTTTGTATGTCCATCTTCTATGGCCGTGGTTTTGATGATGCAGGTTCTGAACTCAAGGGTGTTATTTGTATTCCCACTACCAAGCAATTCAAGACTCTTTCTTTTCCGGTTCCTAAATTCGGGAATTCTAAAACATATTCAAGTTTTTATGGTTTGGCCTTTGATCCCTTAAAATCACATCACTACAAGATCATTTGTCTTCATGTTGATTATCGAGTCTCTAAAAATCTCCAAATTTATCTATATTCCTCACGTACCAACTCTTGGAGCTTCTTGCAAAACTCTTTGGAAGCACCAACTTTGTATGGTTTTGTGAATGGGGTTTTCTGCAATGGTGCTATTCATTGGTGCAGTTGTGAACAAACCACATTGTATTTCGATGTAAATACTGAAAGTTTGAAGATAATGCCAACGCCTCCTATATTTTCGACTGTAAACAGATTTCGGGAAATGATGTACTTTGGGGAATCAAGGGGCCGTTTGCACTTGGCAGGCATAGGACGCCGTTTCATCTTTGGATTTGATGTTTGGGAGATGGCTTCTGATTATTCTGGATGGTCTTTTCTGTACCATGTGAGTCTTCATAGTATGAAAAGGGCATTTCCTGAACAAAAGTTTGATACATTTTCAATATTGAATGTTCTTCTGGCTGAAAAGAAAGAAGAATTGAAGGTTGTGATATCAGTTGGCAGTATAGCCGTGTCCTTGAATGTTTTCGATGGTACATCGAAGATGCTTAGTGTTTTAGAGCCAGGACTTGAATTTCCTGCTGTATTGGGT